CCGAGTTCTTGGCAGGCACATCTATGATTGAGTTCTCTTCCAGTGTCCTTGAATGTCTTGGCGATAAAACTTTCGTGTTGTTAGGACGTTTTTCGAGCAATAAACTTTTCTGGAATTTTTTCTTTAGTGCATCATTACTTTGCTCTTGTAATCTTGTGTCTTTTGTAAGTGGTTCCTTAGTTCTGGTGACAGAACTTTCAGAGACTGTTATAAGCTCCGATGTAAAGAACACCTCCTTATTTGGCGCTTCTAAATTCCTCTCTACCACCATAGGTGAATTCGTATTACACTCCGAGTTAATCTCATTATTTTGACTAGTCTGAGTCTTCGTTAACTTGCCTACGGATGTCTGCTGGATCATGTTCTCTTGTAATACTGATTTGTTTTGTGAGGTAGTACCTTGTAAATCTTCTCTGACGCTCTCCGATGATTTCTCAGTACTCTGTGACTGTTTTATCATGTTATTTATGTAATTACATAAATTCTGATACAAGCAACGCAATACACTTCTCTCATGATGCAGTTGTTTAGATTCCCGCTCACTAAGCCCATATCTCTGTTGGTTCATACTAAAATACAACCTTAGTTGATTACGCAATAGGATTTTCTGGATGTCCGTTAGAATTGCCAGATTAAAACTATAGAGTGTGGAGTTTAACAAACTTAATAATACTGAGTAATTTTTTTGTGAGGATATTTCAGACACCGTATTTTGTGAAACATTTGCATTCTGCGACGTAAAAGTTCTCGGAGCAGTACCAGATATATTATGCGATATATCACGAGGTGATACACTTAAGGTCTCTCGACATGCATCTTGTTGGGGATTCGTAGATGATGTCTTCTGTTGTACATATTGTAACTCGGAAAACTTGGCTTTTTTATTTGGTTTATTTTGTGACATGTTTTGTGCCATATTTTGTGACACATTGTCAGTCGTTAGGTCGATTATACATACAGATCTATCTTTAGGTTGTATCAAGTGCTGGCTTTCTTGCAAATTCTGCTGCAACGTCTGTTGCACAGTTTGATCTGGCTGGGTATTCTGAAGGGAATGTTTCTGCACGTTGCACTGCATGAGTTGCGGTACAACTGGATAAATTTCATTTGGATTCAGGTAACGAGTATATTGCGCTTTTTCTGTGGATGATTGAGAGACTTGCTGGTTATAGCTCATTTGCCGTTGATTTGCACTTCCACGTTCAGCATTTCCCATTGCATCGCCAGGCCTTTGAGTATTAGAATTTGCCATGGAAAATCCAGACATGACACTATTTTGGTGTATTCCAGGAGAAATATTTTTATTTGCCGTGGCTGGCACGGCGCGAATTGTTATTTCTGAGTTTGCTTGCAACTTCTGGAAATACATTGGTTTCTGCTGTTGCGCATTAGCAGTGAACCTAGCAGTAGTAATATTATTAGTTGTATTTCTTAAAGTCGCGTGTGATTGTCTCGTGTTGGTTGCAGGAGATACGTTTGTATTCCTTTGATTTACACTAACCAAGTTAGTATTCGATGGTGAAACGTTACAAGTGTTTACAGAAACCTGTTGAATACCACCATTCAACACATTTGCCAATTGTACATATTGGCCTTGTAACGGATGACTCGCATTTTTTAAAAATTGTTGTTGATTGACATTTGGCATACGTGGGTGTGCTGCAGATGCGTAAGACGTATTATATTGTTGGCGAATATTTGGCATAGGTTGTCTGAAATGTGGTGCTTGTTGAGAATTAACTGAATTGCCAAACAATTGCTGTTGGTTGACATTTGGGATTATTGCCACCGGACGTGGGATTGTCGAAGATTGTGTGAAATTGCCATAATTTGGCATTATTGCGTCTTGAAATGGAGCACCTCTTGACAATGGTTGCGCGTTGACGCTTGGCATTGATACATTCGGAACTGATTGGCCAATGTTTGAATGTAGCGAAACATTAGATTTTGCACTGTTTTGCTCTTGCGTGATACCAAACTTATACGTTTGTAGAAGTGCAACATAATTGTTAATTTCCGCTGATGTTATTGGCTGGTTTAAAAAATTATATTGATTAACATAATTTAGAACGTGCTCAACATTGCCCATGTGTAACCATTGCATCAAATTTGTCAAGCATTGATATATTTGCCTTATATTCACATACATTTTTTGTAAGCATTCTGGTGGAACGTTTTTAACGTGCTTATATTGACGAAGGCTGCGGCAATATTCGATGTCAGCGCAGATATTTTTCACTGCAGTAAGTATACGTAACTTGATACTATCATTAATAATTGCAGTATTACTCTCACTGAGTGTCACTGGTGTAATCGGTGCATTTGTCCTGGATGAATAATGCATATGTCTAACAGCAGTGTTGGCAGCAAATGTTGGCAGCCGTATGGGTACTGATTGAGGTGTTAATTGAGAAGATACTAATTGAGGATGTGTTGGTTGAGGTGCTGACTGAAGAGGTGCTGATCGAGAAAGTCCTGATTGAGGAGGTGCTAATTGAGGACGTATTGGTTGAAAAGGTACTAACTGAACAGGTACTGATTGAGTAGATCCTGATTGAAGAGCTACTAATTGAGGACGTGTTGATTGAGATATTAATTGAGAAGGTACTGATTGATATATTGGTTGAGAATGCTTTAATTGAGGCTGTGTTAGTTGAAGAGGTGCTGACTGAAGGGGTGTTGATTGAAGAGGTACTGATTGAGGAGATGCTAATTGAGGAGATACTGATTGAAAAGATTCTAATTGACAGAATTCTGAACGTGTACTTTTTGATGGAACCGATACATTGAGATTCGTAGATTTTTCGATTATTCGAGAACTAAGTTCCTCAAAAGATCGAACTCGTATACTGTGTGTCGCATTCGCGGAAGTACGTGGTTCTTCTATATTAGGACCGTTGTATGCAGCTTTAGCTGTTTTTTCAGAACTATTTTCAGTCGCCATCTGTATTTTCTTTTGTGCAATAGACGATACGCCATGATTTTCTTTTTCCCGACTATGCTCTGCCACACTTCCAACTTTCTCTAAAGTTCTATTATTAGAATTTTGTTCTTCGTTAGTCTTTCTTTTGTCATCCGTGGAAGCTTCCGCCAAATTGGATTTATCACACGCAAGTTTATTTGATTCAGAACTATCTTCAGTTGTTATTGGATCGACAGATTCCGAAAGTTCATCTCTTCCTTTTTGACTATGATCCATCGCATTGCTATTTTTATCTAAAATTAGATCATCTTGAAGGTTTCGTTGTTGTGGAGATCCATTTACATTATCTTTAGCAGTAGAACTAGAATCACATGTTATATCACAACCTTCAGTTTCGACAGGAACATTTTCATTATCATCTAACAATGTATCATTTTCGACATTTCTACTTGTAGATTTGCACTTGTACCTTTCAGATGTTTTATCCATCTTCAAAAGTTCATCAAGAACATTTGGATTATCTTGAAGTTTGTGTAAGTCTTTAATGCACGTGTTTACTGCAGACGAAGGTGCTTTTAGTGAATATTTCCGTGACATTTGAGATTTCAATTTGGATGTAATTTTTATTTCTACTTCAATATCGCTACTGTCATCTTTTGAATTACTGTTCTGCAGTAAGTCATTATTATCGCGACAATTTAAATTGCTTAAAGATGAATTTTTCGTTTGTACAGAAAGAGATTCATCATGCTTTTTTTTCAAAGAATTTTCTTTTAACGTCGATAGTATCATTGAAAACTGATCAACTGTCTTTTCATCCCTTACAATGTTATTGTTACTTGTGAATAATAAATTGCTGACAGTTTGTGATGTGTCACGGATATCGTTTTCGTCAACCTCATGCCATGTTGACTCATGTGCAGACATAATTGTTAATTTCCAAATTGATGTTGCACAGTTTTGTGTACTTTTGCATTGTGCTAAATCAACATTTTGGGCATTGCACACTTCTTGATCCCCTTGCCATCTTGTAAGAATAATATTTTTTTTATCTATTTTAGCAGAAGTATTATCTACTTTTTTCTTTAAATTGTCATTTGAATGTATATTCTCTATACTCATATTTTGATCTAAATCCATTTCAATCGTGGACGGTATAATATTTTTGCTGGTTTCCGCATGTCCATCACTTTTGCTACAGTTGTCTGTATCGACGATTGACGAAAAATTCTCTACGTGCTGTTTCCTTGCCAGGACGTCACTGTTTACATTTTCTTGCAAATTATTTGCTAATGCGTTATATTTACATAATGATACTCTATCTTCTACCTTTTTGTCTGTTATAATATCAGACGTAGCATAACATTCTTCCGTGTTTGCAATGGAATCGCAGGAATTCTTAGAATTTACTTTAGCCGATATTGCATAATTTATATTTTCCTGCGAACTATTAACAGATGTACCACATATTAATGTTTTATTTTTTACTTTTTCGTCGTCTATAGCATTGTACATAACAGATTTTTCAGTATTTACGATCGAATCGCAGGAATTATCGAATGTTACTTCAACCGGTATTGTTTTTTCGACGTTTTCTTGCAAATTGTCAGGTGACGTATCATGTGCACATGTCGATGCATCATCTTTTGTCTTCTCGTCTGTAACATCGTGCCAAGAATACTTTTCAGTACATGCAGAATCCGTAGAATCCGAATTACCAAAGTTTATGTTCTTTATACTCTCCTGCGAATTATCAGGCATACAGTGTTTGCGTACCGATACTTCATCTTCCGTCTCCTCATCTGTTGTAGTATTATAAATAACATGTTTTTCGATGGATACAGAATTACGTAAATTATCGAACTTCATTTTAGTTGATGTTGCGCTCTCTATACCTTTCTGCAAGTTATCAGCTGAAATATCATGTGACTTTTTGTCTTCTTTAAAAATATCTTTTGCTTCTTTTGTTGTCTCATCATACAATGGATCACCAGACTGTAGTCTCCTTCTTTTTAGATAATTACACACAATTTCATGTTCCTCATCACTTTCACTTGTGTCGGGATCAAAAGGGCCTCTAAAGTATTCGTGCATTTTGTCTCGTATACTTTTGACCTTCGTATACCAGCTTTCTTGGTGCCGTTCTCTTTTTTGCTTCAGCAATTTATACCTTTCTCTTTTTCTTATATGCTGTGTAATATTCCTCCAAATTTTTTGCTTTGTGCGGGCTGATTCATTGTCAGATAGTATTTCGTTGTCAGACTTTTCGATATTATTATCAGTCATTATTTTGTCCTCACTTGACATTTTTACTTTATTCCCCTTTCGTATCTTTATCGGCGACCCAGTTTGATCTAAACTGCAGGAACCTAATTTCCTTTTAATTATTGCCTCGGAATTTATTTCGATAGGACTATCAGTTTGTGGACTTTTAGATTCTGTATTTATTTCTATTTGATTAACATTTTTCTTTTCGGATGTTTGACCCAACAGTTTGTCGATATGTTCAACTAACGCTGAATTAACATGAGTCTGTGTATGCTCTTTTAGGGTAAAAGCATCTTCATTCTCATCTATTAATTTATCAGTTTCTAGATTGGATTCTGAAATTATTGTATCACCTGACGAACTGACATTGCTTTTAGGAAGGACATTATTTCTAGATTCATTGGAGCATTTTTGTAGTGTATCTGTTAATATGGCTTTTACTGAGGACAATTTCTGCTGTTGTTCTGTTTTATGTTTTTTCTTTCCGTTATGTTTTCTTGCAAAAACATCATTATCTTCCGTGGGAGCGACGCTTCTTCCAGAGTCGGAATGATGCTTCTTTAATCGAATCGGCACGGCTGTATCTGATGATTCATTTCTCGACGGAAGATATTTTTGATTAACGGATGCACCTGCCCCTTCTGCAAAAATAAAACTAGATTTATCTTTCGACAAAACAATCTTACTTTCGGAACAAGAGCTTTTATCTACAGACTTACCAACAAAATTCTGTGTATATTTCCTCAGCGATTCATCTTCCGACGAGAAAGAGCCAGGTGCTGCATTAATATCCGATCTTTCTGTAGAAATATCTTCATAATTCGTTGATGTGACATCGATGTGAGAATCCTTTCTCGTTAGTTTTGAAGTAAAATCTTGTACAGTGCCATCTAACAATTCTGTTTCGAATAAATTATATACTTGGGTTTTACTCTGACAAGTTTCATTAGCATCCAATGCATTGATTGGCACGGTTGCAACAGCAGCGCTTGGAACTTGTGTATCAAACTGTTGAGGAATATCGCGCAAATTCTCCACTCCTTGCCCCTCGGCATCATTTCGGTGCTTATTTTCCGATTTCTCCTTGCGGAACAGAGAATTTTGATTACTGCTATGCGATGATTGCAGCTTCCTGAAACATATAGAAAGCTACATGCTATAGTAATTATAAATATAATTAAAAAATGTAATTATCTATATAGAGATATAGCTACAGAATTGTTATGAAATTAGGTAAATAGCAATTGAAATACCAAATATACATACACGTATGTACATAGGTTCCTGAATGTTCAATAATCCTATAACTGACAAAGTCTATAAAACATTCCAAGACAAAAATCCTTATGTAAAAATGTCAAAGCTCATCGTTTTTAAATGGAAAGCACTCATAGTTGTCTAATCAATTTATAAAAATTTTGCGCGTTTAGGTATGGTAAATCGCATGCCACACGTGAAATTTTCGCAAACTGATTAATCAATTATAAGTGTTTTCCATTTAAAAACCATGATAATCTCAACATTTTGATATATTTTTATATTTTTATCTGAGGGGGAAACCGCTGCTGGGCATTGTGGTGTACAGATTTGCGGCATTACTGGGTATTACTAGGCAATTTTTGGGCATTAGTTGGGGCATTAGGTCTTGCTGAGGCATTATAAAGATAAAATAAGATAAAATAAGATAATAAGATAAAGTAATGCCCACTGAGCATTAGTGGGCATTGGTGTATAAGATTTTGGTCAGAGGTTTCCCCCTCGTTTTTGTCTTATGTTCTAGAGTCTAGAGAACGTGTCAGTGAAAGGATTAGTGAGCTTTCTGGAAAGGGGGGATAGCATTAAAATGGTACATCCTATACATATACACACACAAACACACACACACACATGTACACAAAGAGAGGAAGAGAAGGGGATATGTAGAGTATAGTGTATCATTTTATCTGTCACTCACAAATTTTTTTTCTTTTTAATTGTAGAAAAATACTTTAAAGTACTTTAAACAAAGGTTTTTTGATTCGAAGGAAAAGACATGATTCAACTACAACATGACTCATTTCCATCATTTTCAAGATCATTTTCAGAAACTTTTAAAAGCAACTAATTTATTAAATAAAACTAAATTTTATTCTTGAGATAAAAGTTGTAGATCTCACATCGGAATTATGTATTCTTCTTCAAACCAAACAACTTTTATCTAAAGATTTTTGTTACAATAAACGATTTTAGAAGTTATAAATTAAAACGGTAAACCGTATATACACTGCGCAACAAAATTAACGCCACAAAAATTTGTACCAAAATTTCACTCAACTTGAAATAATCGTAACTTCGCGAAAACTTATCGCATTTGAAAAAACTTTTTATTTTAAAGCTACAAATCTCTACTTTCAAGAGAATTTTTCAGATTTTGTATATCTTTGTTCCCCTTATCGTGATCTCTTTAAAAGTAAGAACGTGTTTTGTCTGCAAAACTTTTTACATTGCAGTTTGACGTGCTTCATGGGGTACGATGAATTTTTTTCGCAAATTCTATAAGAACCATTGTAAAATATAAACTTTCCCCGACAAATTAAAAAAAATTGAAGTCTGTACGATTTTTTTGGCAGAGTTATGATGTATCAAAGTTCCCACACAGCACATAGCTCCGATTAGGCTCTTAGAGAGTTCATTTCATATATCATAACTCCGCCAAAAAAATTGTACAGACTTTAATTTTTTTATAATGTGTAGGGAAAAGTTCATATTTTACAATGATTCTTATAGAATTTGTGAAAAAATTCATCGCACCCCGTGAAGCGCGTCAAACTATGAAGTTTTGCAGACAAAATACGTCCTTACTTTTAAAGAGATCACGATAAGGGGAACAGATATTCAAAATCTGAAAAATACTCTTGAAAGTAGAGATTTCTAGCTTTAAAACATTTTTAAAAATTTTTAATGCGATAAGTTTTCGCGAAGTTACATGTATTTGAAGTTAAGTGAAATTTTGGTATTAATTTTTGTTGCAGTAATTTTGTTGCGCAGTATATTTGTCATATGTATAAAAAATAAACGTCAGGAAAGGGCCAATAATACTGACGAGCGACAAGGTATAAACAGATAGAAAAATATATTATTAACTAATTAATAAGTATTATTGGCCTTTTCCCGACGTTTATGGTTTATACAACCATTATATCTCTATCTATATATTTGTTATATTTGTTATACATATATGTATATTTAAGAGACAAATTTGTTGTGCTGCGCAATATGTACTAATTAATAATATTGAATTAACTCCGCCTACGCGGAAGCTCAGTAGAAGCCCGCGTAGCCGGTCCCAAGCCCGGATAAAAGGAGGAGGGTGTGGGCGTGGGACGAACAACCTCACCCTGTAAAAAACCCCACAGTCAAGAAATCTCAACCGAAGGATACAAGAAGCCGCGGATACAGGACGGATACAAAGGTAAACACGGCAAACGGAACAAGGATTTAAATATTGGTACATGGAACTCAATGAGTCTACACAGAACGGAGGCATTTAAGGAATTGACCAAACTAATCTCGAATTATAATATTGACATAAGGTGCTAGAAAGTCAGCCTGGAAGCAAGAGACCCATAGGAAAGTCCAGAGCAAGATGTCTGGAGACCAGAATGAGTGGAGGCAAAGGATTGAGGAGGCCAGAGCTCGATTTGACCTGTAGCGCCATTGGAAGAAGAAGAATAACATTGAATTAATAATAGTTAATAATATTAATCATTAAATAAAAAGGACTCATCTGTTTCAGTGTAGATATTTATACACATTGATTCTAGAAAATCATACATCAACATTTTGAAAGTTGCAACTGTTGCATTATGCAAAAATGCTGATCGAGTCACGCTGCACTCGATTGACGATTACACGAAGTCCTAATGATCGAAAGAGATATCGCGAAATCACGTGCTTGCAAAGGAATGCTTAGAACCAATGTACTGCTTCAAAGATTCTGATCTCTTCTTTTTGTGTTTGGTTTTGGATGTTCCAGCAAGCAAGCTTAACTGTCTACGGATTTTCTTGAAGTTTTGCATTCCATGACCGTCTCAAAAACCCCGACAGAAAACCGTTTATGAATATCTGGATTCTCCATCGCATCAAAGTATATTTGCCCGTGAAATAGATCTGGGATATTCCGACGGGACGTTACATTTTGTCCTTTGACAGGCTGCAGCATGTATCTTCTTCATTCGGCAATTTTTGTCAATATACCATCGCATGATCTTTTTTTATTCCAATATCAAATTCGCGAATACGACATGCAAACACAACGATCATCGTTAAACTTAGATGTGCTTGAAAGGCACAATTACTGCGTACCCTTATATTATCTCACTACTCTCACGGCAGTACGTCGGAAGAATTTAATATTGCTGAAACAACAAAATTTATGTATCATTACGACAAATCTGACAAACGTTTGTTGGCCCTCAAGGTACGCTAGTTTTTTTTCTTCAAGCTAATTCATTATTTTTATTTTCATAGTCTTTAATATTTAATTATATTTTTCTGTATTTTATCTTGTTAACCAGACAACACAAGCGCGCGCTATCGAGATATCATAAGCTAAATATTGAAAAAGTTATAAATTTTCTCTTGAATATTTTAAAACGTTAGGCCAATCAAAAAATGTTTCAGACAAAAATTGTTCGCCTTAATTAATAGACTAAGATAGTATAATCAACAATAGGGTGTTCCGTTTAAAAAATTGAAGGTGTCCTTCACGTGACCTTCAAGCAACTATTCATACAAAATGTGAGAGGCCTGAGGCTCGGACGTTCTAACGTGTTTTATGAATTTCCAGAAAAGATCACGAGACACGGTAGTGTCTCGCGCCAAGTGTAAGCGTAGCTAGTACACGCGTGTGGGTATTACTCGTCAATGTGCGCTCAGTCCTGTCGATAAAATTATGCCAGCGAGATGATTCCTCTGCATGACAGTGAGGTCCTGCTTGATTCTGACTGGGCCTGTGTATCTATTTCTCTTTTTTAGCACCTCTGGGCTTCTGTCTTCGATGAGAACCGTACTTTGAGTGGTCTTATCTAGCCTTGTTTAGGCTTGCCCAGTCTCCGTACATCGATACTCAAAATATCATTTGGACGTATTTTTCGGACAATCTCTTCAGCCAAGGCCAAGTCAGCAATTTCAGACTCCTTTTGAGAGGAAGAGGTAGGACAAGCCTCCTCAAGATTATAGAAGATAAGATTCATTTCTCTATTCTTCCTGTCCGAGACCTCAGCAATTAATTCTTCTTGATTTACAGAAGAGGTGGTCGAAGAGATCTTATCCTCCAATTCATAAATTTTTTCCCGCAGTCCTTGCATCTCAGTGGTGATCCTTTCCATGTCCGCACGATACATCCGAGTAATCTCGTCTCGAAAATTGGCGAATTCAACCCGAATATTTCTCAGTTTAGAGAGTAAATCATCCGAGTTTAAATCACAGCTAGTAAATTTATTGCCAGAAAAAGGATGTCCCGTACGACAAATGCAGCCGGGGTGAGACGCAATACTGCATATGTCACATATAATCGGTCTGACTACCGTTGACCCACAGCCTTTGCAAAGCCTCTTATCCATTGTTGACAGCAAAAATTTTCCGGGACAGAACACAGCAAGAGCAACACAGTAAACACGTCTACTCTCTACAAAGGCACCTCGCCAACTGTGATGTAATGATGCTGAGCAATATGCAAATATCATTTTCTTTGCGAGAACGATATTCCAGCCGACGGTCTCGTGATCATTCTCAGAAAAAATAATTTATTTTAGGCATCACTGCCTCGATGTAATGATCATACAACGTCTCGGATCAATTTTTGTACACTTTTAAAACAATTAATATCTAAAACTTTTAGTTGATCGCAGTGAAAACATTATAGTGAATTTATAATTATTATTATAATGTCGATTATATGCGATACCGAGCAATATGCAAATATCTTTTTTATTTTTTGCAAAAATGACTTCGTTCAATACCGCGACACATATAAAATTTAATTTTAATTTTACTATCAAAGATCTTTATTTTTCAAATTTTCCTATTTATTTTTTAATATAAAATTATTGTTGGATAATTCTTGAATGCACTTATCACGACGCAATTTCTATTATTTGGCGAATAATTAAAAATACGTTCTTCGTTTGAGATAAAAATCAAAGTTGGATAGATACAAGATGAGCTACAAGAAGAGTTTTATTAAAGCAATTTTGTTGCATTCTTTATCTTAAATGTCGAGAAAGGTGTCTGCGTTTATTATTTTGCGCTTCCTACTGAAGTTTCAACAATTGCGATGCCGACTCATTTGTCACAAAAAGACCACCCGGGATTCTGTCCCTTGTTCCTCTCTTTGTTATAATTAAAAAGTCAGAATATACAGCTAAAATTATTAGGCACCCTCATAATCATTATACTGTACTAAATTCAATCCCTAGAAGATTTCTATATAATGATTGAAAAGTTGTTTACTAGAGCGTTCACTGTTTCCATACAGTTTCCAAACAACTTTTAAACAATAAAAGTCTTTCCTAATATTAGTACAGTATAATGATTATGGCGATGCTTGATACTTTTAACCAGGGCTATATGTACAAATGTTGCAGAATGATAATTAGAGAACAGTGTAAATTTTATTACAGTAAAATGGACAGCACTATGTAAATGTGCACTGCTAAGATCACACATCGACACTACTACGATGTTGCATTGTGATCCATCTTACATTTATCACTTTTGCAAGACCAAATATCATAGCTCATACATAGCTCTTTCTGTTCTTCAGACATTTGCGGGTACTCCTGTACAATAAGTTCGTTACCTAAAGACGACCAGTATTACTGGCGAAACGTTGTAAAGTTATAATCGAATAAAGTAATGCCAATAAGGTCGTTTCCATACTTAATTTTATTTCTTAATTTCTCGACCGGCGTTAATATATCTGTTGTTGAATTGATTTTTATCACTTTGTTAAACATCTCGCGTAGATACCTTCAATCGTTATACCTCGCAAACGGTGGCTATCCTCCGAATAATAATGTAACAAACAACGCTAAATAGTTTCACTGGAAATCTCCCGTGGTACTTTTCACCTCAATTATCAGTAAGAATAACTTTTCGATATTAATTACCTCCATTTCGCGTACTGATTGTCGCGCACGAGGTATTTGTTTACCGCTGATCCGGCGACGGAAGTAAACATCTAGCCGGCGCGAGTGTTTCGTTCTAACTGTCGGTATTTCTTTTGCAGCCCTTGAGACCGGTCACAACGGGGCCGGTATAAACTCGAGGAAGGGGCAAAATAGCACACAAGCGAAACAGAGAAAAACACAGAGAAGGGGGGAGAGTGAATTCTCTCGTCGCCAGTCACGTAGTCCCTTTGTACTTGAAAGAATTTGGTTAGTTATGCGATCCCAAAATTTCGAGTTTTCTACAATAATAAAAAAAAACTGTGAGGGATAAGTTGGAGTATTTTTTTCTTTTTGAGCAAGGTAATGCCAGAGATTGCTTGTTTAAATTATTTTATTATTGTGTCAAGAAAGTCAATCTGTAAAAAAAACACCTTTATGATCACTGACTCACATTTCTCTTTAAATTCTTATTTTAAAAAGTGTAATTATACGCATACATATATTCCGGTAAAAGTTGGCAATCTCTTATAAAAGATAAAAAATAAGTTGTACCTTATTGTTAGATATAGCTGAAAGTATAATATAAGTTTTAATAATCAATATAACTCGTCAAGGTCAAACTAATGGCACCATCTTATGTCCTCCTTTGAACCAAATAACTTTTGTCTGAAACGTTTTTTTCTGCGATCAAAAATAAAAAGTTATTTGGGTTGGGACATTAAATTAGGATACCCTGTATATGAAATTACTCGGAAAGACCCCCCTCCCCCCAACAACACAAACACTACAAAAATTAATAAAATCGGAGCAGAGGCTCCTTTTATGCATAATTACCATCTTTCCTTTAAAAAAATTTTCATATAAAAGCATGTATTATATAAAAAATATACAATGTAAAAATATGTATGGATATATTTTATGTATATTTTTATATAATGCCACATATATTTATGCATGTTTATGCATGAAAAATTTGTTACTGGGATTATATCAATTTGTGTCAATTCGCAATCATCAATTCACACAATCACTAACAATATGAACGCTATCCTATTTCTAATATCTTATACATATTTTTAACAGTCACAGCAACTTGCGCTATGATTTATTATAATGTTAAAAAGAAAAATAGAATTAGCACACATTTTGCAGCAGAAATTCCTTTAGTCTCACTCTACACATATACAAATTAATAAATATTGCCTGTGGGTAACGAATAATTGACTTTAACTGCCGATGCAGTTATAACATACGTTGTACGTGAGTAAAAACTATAAATACAATCTGCAATCCGTGATATCACGGTTTCACTTACAGAGAAACCTGAATAAAAACTCACCGGAAGTGGGAAACTGGCAGTCGTTTAAGAACCACATATGATTTGCTCCCTAGTTGTATCAGCCCCTTCCGCGTCGCCCGCTTTGACAGTCCCAGCCTCCGCAGATCACCCTTCAACTAAAACAACAGTCATATAATCGGATTATCTCGGTATATCTTAGAATAGCATGTCCTGTGATTTCTTTGGGTCTTAGCAGAATAGCTGACTTGTAATTTCGAGACAATGTTTAAAAAATATCACTATTTCATCTAGTACTCGTACAGTAAAATTGTTACTTTTATATGTTTACATATCCATACTCATTCCTTACACACACACGCACACGCACACTTTTCGGACAGACCTCGTATAGTATTATATGAAATATACCCATATATATTTTTACATTGTATATTTCCATATAATTCTATATATTTATTCATGTTCATGCATGACAAATATTTTACCGGGCTCTTTTCTAATATTCATTCCTATTTCTAATATTTTTTCGATTACAGGGTCTAAGACTTGAGATGTAAGGCACACCGTGAGTTAGCCATTCTACTCAGGCTCTTACTTAAAATAAAGAGTTAGAGCATAAAACATTATCTAAAAAGTACAAGTACCATTCTACTAAGGCTCCTTTCCTATACATATAACTAGTGTTGGAAAGTTACTTTATAAAAGTATCTAGTTACAGTTACGGTTTTTTCGCAAAAAATGTAACTAGTTTACAATTACAAGTTACCAATCCTGAAAAGTAACGCGTTACAGTTACTCAAAAAGTAACGACTTGTTACTTTGCAGTTACTTTCTTACAATAAAAATAAAAATATTAAATCTGCATTTGAATTGTAAAGCGTCAATAGAGGCGTTTATGCACAAATGCAAGGCCTAAGGCGATCTATGGAGGTTTAAAATATCTATATATAAAGTAACTATTAATGTAACTATTAAATTAGTTACTAGTTATCGAAAAAATTAACTAAGTTAAGTTAGAGTTACAGATGGAGAGAAAGTAACAAAGTTAGAGTTATAAAAAAAGTAACTGTAACTTCGTTACAAGTAACGAGTTACTTCCCAACCCTGCATATAACTAATAATGCCTGACATATAAATAGAAGACGAGAAATAGAGGACGTACACATTGCGCTATATACACTTTTTTTTAATTAAAATTTATTTAGAGAAACTGTGTACATATCCAAGCATGCATTAAATTTTCCATTGCCTGAGAAGAATAGATTTTTGTCGTTTAATTTTATCGCTCTCTACTGTAGCTGATTGTGAGAAAATGAATGTGAGAGAAATTAATGTAGCTGATTGTGAGGCATTTAGCACTGTACGCTTCTATCGCGTGAAGATCGTAGATTACACACAAACTGTATTGCCATAGTCTGCCCAGTCAGAAATGACTGGAAAACCAACGTCGAAACGATATCGAATCGACGTCGGTTTTCCAGTCATTTCTGACTGGGTGTCAACATTTCGAAAAAGATCGCAAGACACTCTACATTAGGCCAGTGCCGCAGCAAGGTTCCTCGGCGCCCGGGGCGAATATAATTTTGGCGCCCCCCCCGTTCCACCCCATACTACACGTATAGGCAGTCAACCTTTCTGTCTGCGAGTGTAGGTCTTTACCGGCGGCGCTGGAGCCCCCTTAAATTTGGCGCCCTGGGCCGGCGCCCCGCTCGCCCCACCCTTACTGCGGCACTGCATTAGGCCTCGTCAACTTCGGCTCCAGAGCCGCAATACTTCTCGCCCTTTGTCTCACTCCACGAGAGCCTGGATGTCTATTGGTTCGCCGTGACCGTGCCAGCAGCCGTTGCTGGGCGCCAAGTGCCATTACTAGAAGAAGAAGAAGAAGACGAGAGCCTGGAGAGGGGATGAGGGGGAGTATTGCGGCTTCCGGAGTCAAAGTTGAGGCCTGCTCTAAATGCAAGCCTATACCGAATCTAAAATCGACACTTAATTAATCTGAAGAGGCTCACACCTTGACCTGCAGCCTAAGACGACGTTTATTCTTGTCAGGTATCCATTCTTTCAACTCAGAGTTGTTCAAGATATGAACAGTCTGCTTCTTGTACTCTGCCATTATTGCTGACACGACCGAATCGATATTAATTCATTGGTAATTCTTTTTAGGGTAAACGGACTTCTATCCTGTCTAAGAGGGAATCAGAGAGCGATCGTGATAACTCTTCGTCTTCTCCTCGATCACAGTATATAAGATTTATGCGCAAACTGTCAGAACTGAGGGTCTGTTCGCGCCGCATATCCCGCATGCTCCTGTTTGTTCTTTGAACAATACCGTCATTTTATTTACAATTTAAGTGACGGTAGTGGTCGTTGGGGTAAGCAGGAGCTCGATCACGAATGTTTCACTTTTTACGAGTTCACGCTAAAGGAAAAGATTCACTATCGAGCCCCAGGAGCACGTTGTTGTTGTTGGTCTCGTTAATGGCTCCCCAGTAAGAAATGATTCGTCGATCGACATCGAAATGATGTCGAATCGACGTCAATTCGACGGTGTCGATGCCGATTGACGTCGTTTCGACGTCGATCGCCGAATCATTTCTCACTGGGTCCCGGTTCAATCGCTGGACCGACACGGCCACCCAGGAGCACGTTGGGACATGCAACACAAATAGACCTTGAATCGTCGAAAGAAAGACGACTAATAATTCGCACGTGCCTGATCGGTCAACGACGACAGGCCTACTGAGTAGTACTGAGACGCTCGACGAAACTCACGCATAGAAGATCGTAGAACACACTGGTGCCGATGTTAGTGACGTGAAACATAAAATGCTGCCCCGTTGTAAAGGTGGGAGGGACACTAGGGAGAAAGACATGCCACCACAGATGGAGCTCGGTGACATCGGTGGTATGTGTAGACATAATATATGCCGATCGAGCAGTGAGGGTAGAGGTTCACGTAGAAAAGGACAAACTCTGTTTTGGCTCTTTTGTTCTCTCTTGTTTGCATGTGACCCCCCTCCACTGCTCAAATAAAGGCAAATGTTCGGTCTAGATATACTATATCTACGGTGGTATGCGCTCGTCAGCGCCTTGGCTCGTCTTTCGTTTATCGCGTCCCTCTCTACTCGTGATTATACCATAGTATAGTTAGTATGCCCACTCTCTCTCGGTCCTTTGATCTTTTCGGTTTCGATCACGTGGTATTCCGTGGTTTTGATATAAAATCCTGTCACACTGACTATGGCCGGTATTCATAGTCGATTCTAATTTCAAAATCATCTGAAGTATTGTCTTAAACGTCAAAAGAGCCTTGTATCCAAGTTTGAGCGTCAGTGCACTGTATTGCGTCGAGTTTAAGTTAACTAATCTTAATTTGGTTTGAAGAAATGTCATTTAATCAAAGATATCACGAGTGGCAAACAAAATGTTTAAAAATAATAAATTTAAAAAGAAAAGAAAAGAATAAAAAACGTCTAATGGGAACCACCATTTCGCAAAGTTCACAAGTCTGAACCATTTCTAGTTCTTATTAATCATTAAAATAATGTATATATTATTTTATACACTTTACTATACACACAAAATATATGTTGCATGATACTAACGATTAAATTAAGAAATTATTTTTTATACATTTACGTGACTGAGTTAAGTATCATAAAAAAATATCTGTGTCTTAAATGAAACCATTATAAATAAAATAATTATTATATATCATCTTCGTTACTTATATCCTCTTAGCCAACCATTTTAGGTACTAATAATTGGGGTCCTAAGAAAGGCACTGTAAAGAACTGCGTTGTTTTAATAAAATAAAACTTTAAGAGATTATATTTGCCGATTTTCTTTTTCTGTAAGTGGTCACAGCACTCCCCTTGGGTTACAGCACAATGACGTGTTTGAAAAGGTCCGCCCACGGCTATCGAGGATATCGAGATATCATAAACTAAACATTGAAAAAGTTATTTTTCTCCTGAATATCTCAAAAAGTATTAGGCATATCAAAAAATATTTCAGACAAAAGTTGTTCATATTAATTTGTAGAATAAGATAGTATAATAAATAATAGGGGGATTCCATTAAAAGAATTAAAGGTGACCTTCACATAACCTTCAAGCAACTATTCAAGGTTAAATTAATGACACCATGTTATGTCCCTCTCAAAATCCAACAACTTTTGTCTGAGATATTTTCCGCTATCACTCCTACCTGAGGAGATGTTATCTTGTACGGATTAAAATGGCCCACCCTGTATAACGCATCGACTGACCATCGACTTATGCTGTGCCTATTTATCTAATATTTGTAAACAGATATATTTTTTATGTTGCTAAGTATAATTTAGTACATTGAAAAACGTATACTTTATCCAACGTATGCGCGTTTGCAAAAGAATATTTAAAAATATTCATTTTAGATGCATTATATATGCATTTCTATCATTCAAAATGCATATACACATAATATTGGAAATGCATTCAAGAGTAGAGCTATGCTGATCCCAGAACTCATAAAAATTAGGGAGAGGCAACGGGTTTTTGTACCTGACGTCCTTTCCACATATTTTGTATTGTATTTTTGTGAATACCTGGGTCCCTCACGAATCCCTTAAACGTCGCAAAATAGTTCACACTTTATCCTTTCCTTTTATGAAATATTCGGTTTCTCAACCTTAGTACTTCTTTATCAAGTTATTTGGATCTATATAAAGAAAATTAGCGCTCTTAAATTGTCCTCGTATGCGGAAAAGCTGAGTCATCTATATTTCTATCTTCCATCTTTTTCGATGGAATTTTATTGAAATGCTTCTTTCTTATTTCCGCATTACAACCTTGTTAACATATAATATTCATTCTTCTCTCTAAAAGTTTCGTTCGCGAACGTTTCCTAGAGACGTTGTGGCGTTTATCGTTAGCGAGACTCATCAGATTCAGATTTGCAATGTGATATGTAACTTGAGATCCATCATACGCAATGCAGTGCAGATAAGACGAGAGATAAGGTCACTTCTAATAATAACAAAATTCTGTGAATTTCTCGCCACGTATCGCAAGTTATTCTTTGTGAAATTTAATATCGATTGTGTCCCTTTGATCATTCGCACATTACATGTGCGTAATATTGCTGTTTTACGTATTAAAACTTTTATGACTGCGTTCCGATATTTACTGTCAGTACTGAAAATCTACAGTTTGTCACGTACACTACAGATTTTCAGTAAGGGAACAGTATATGTGAATATCGGGATACAGTCTATGTTACTTTTTCTTCGTCTTTTCATCTCTTCGGGTTTTTCTTCGTAACTGCCTGCCAACGTTATTTGTCGATGAAGTTAGGAACAATATTCTCTTTTTTTGTCGATTATTATGGCATTTTGTGATGGAAGACGAAATAACAGAATAAAAGAACAAGAAACAGCGAATAGTCTTGAATAAGGTACTTACAACGTTGTATGGATTAAACAGCATCTAAAAAGTTATTAATTAAACTTAATATTTGTTTAGAACTTTGGTTGTATAAAAGATAATACGTACTTTACAATTAATGGAGTTGTCGTTTTATATCAGTTCTAACGCCGCTTTTGTTTCTTTTCCCTTCTTTGATAATAAGGATGTGTAGCGCATCCAAAATAAATTAATTAATCAAAACGGAATAATTTGCGTTTGATATGTGGACTATGACAAGAGGAAAACAGTTTTACAAAATAGTGAAACAGATATTCTGAAATTTAAAGTAAACAAAAAGTTAATTTTATCAACTAAAAATAATTGTAGAGTTTACAATCATGACATTTTATTAACAAAAAATTATTTGTATATAAATACTGGTAAGACTGGCTGAAGAGATTAGCAAAATTGACTTTGTGTAAGTACATGAATTAAAAATAATATTAAGCCGAAGAATAACAAGAATAAAAAGCAATAACAACAAATTAAGTACTTACATATTCACAAAATACTATACAATAGTCAGATTCAATACACAGTTCTTTCCACTGTCATTTTACGAAATGATATGCCAGCTATCCGATATTACAGACGCTTATATGTATATTGGTTACATTCAGCGCACTACGAGCGAATGATAGTGCAAGATGACGTAGAAAACCTATTTTTCCATTGTTAATTCACTTCAATACTGTTTTAAATTGATTAATGTTGACTGATTTTCATACGTGACTTTGCCTGATGTTGATTCATTTTCATACGTGACTTTGACCTGATGTTGATTCATTTTCATATGTGATTTTGACCTAATGTGCAATATCGCGAAAGATATCGGTGATATCTCATCTTTAATGTATTTTTTACTGCCTAATGCCTCATACGACATATTTCATCGCAACTGAAAAGGAGTACTTAACGCAACACCTACCTACAGCACGACGCCTATAACTCATAAATCTGATTTTCCCAAAAATAAAATCGTCGTATCATAATAAAAATATACATGGATATAATTGTCATTTGATGCTCTTAAACTTTTGCGTTGAAAAATTTTTTTAATTTTTTAAAAATAATGGTGGGGTGGGGGTAAATTAAAAAATTTGATATTGTTGAAAAATGTGATTAAGCCATTGTGAAGACTATAAAAAACAATAAAACTTTTGTCTAAAACATTTTTCCATAAAACTTATATTTTCGAAGATATTCGTAAAAAATGAAAAAATCCCTTATTTTCGAGGGGCTGTTTCACCCCCTAAACGTCGAGATAAGCCGATAAAAAAAACGGGTCTAATACTTTTTTATGCTCTACAACATATCCAAAGCTCATTCAAATCGGTGAGGGACACTTCCGACCGTTCCCTTGTTAGAAATATAATACTTGATCTATCAGCACGATCGAATGTACATATCGTACAGACACCTCTCGTACTGAACATTGAGCGCGTTGTCTCGCTATTTATACTACTAAATACAGATACAATTACCGAGAAAAATTCAGTCTACAGTATTTAGCTGGAAACCATAACGTTGATAAAAACACTGAGAATATTTCCTGTTTCCCAGACAGTCGACATGGTAAAAATTTAAGTCCCTGTAAGTAGGCAACCCTTTGATGTAGGGTAAAAAAATTTTCCCTGCAACTTTGTTGTCTATAGGACTAATGATTGTGCAAATTTCAACACGATTGAAAAACTTTCCATTTTTAGGGTGGTACGTTTCGTATGGAATACCCCATATACAGGGTGTTACTTAAAGACCGCCCACCGAGTAAATAGCGTTATTCCTTATAAAATTCTGAATCGAAAAGTCCTGAACCATTTTTTTCTATTGTTAATAATGAGTCAATCCACTGAGCACCGGTCTTTAGCCGGGCGCAAGTCAGTGAGTCGTGCGCCTGGTAGTGTGTGTGAGCGCTCAGCCGTCGCAGCCGCTATCGCATAATATTATTGTGCGTCGTAATATCAGAAATAAATTTTTTTATGCCAAGAATTATATTCCTCCTATCAACAGTACCTCCTTTTATAGAAAATTTCGACGGATAGAGCTTTTACCAAGACGTAATCGTTACTATGAAGAATTTGACAAACACAAAAAAAATTCTGTGTTTTACAAAAATTATTTTCTGAAGAATCTGTGTTTTTAGAAATCTTTGCGTTAACACTTAATTATTATGACAAATCGTTTATTGAATCTTTTTACGAGTGATTTCATTCTGTTACTCAGAAGTAATAAATTTTGTAAGAGAAATTTCTTATAACAATTAGACATTTAAATAACACATACTTAAACGAAAAATAGAGAAAATTAAAAATAGAGAAAAATGTCTTTCTTTATAATAAAGATTAATTCTCTATCCATAATATTGAATACAATTTTCTCTCTGATATTAAACGCCGATAAAAAGAATTTTATCAAGCAACTCTAATCAGATGAGGTGTTTCTTATAGATTTTTAATAAAAAAAAGTAATTTGTGTTAAAATAATAATTTTTTTTATTTTAACACAAATCATGTAGTTAAAAAGAACAACTGCACCTAACTCAACCCACTTCTGTAAGCAAATTGCTAATATGATGGAGCAATTTGGTCAGCAGGATTACTTTTTTTTATTAAAAATCTATAGGAAACACCTAATCTGACTAGAGTTGCTTGATAAAATCGGCAATAGAAGGAATCTTAATATCCACGCTAGTTTATTTTTATTGCTTCCTCATAGAGGAAGCTTTGTTTTCATGCGAAAAATTTTTTTCCAATTTTCAATGCCAATGGGTTTAGTATAATCTAATCGTGCGTGCGCAATAATTGTTATCGCTCCCACCTTCGCAATTTTCGAGATATCCACCAAAAAACACAC